TTTACAATTTGGTATTTTGTTTTATTTTAAAAGTATATTTGCTATACTATTACAGTTGTCACAATTTTCCCCATTTGTCCCCCTCTACCTGGTACCCCTTTCCTTGCAGCAACCCCTCTTTAAATCCTCCTTTAATTCCTGTCCATGTATCGTGCATATATGTTCTTTGGCTTCTCCACTTTCTGTACTATTCTTAATCTCTATCTATTTTGCACCTACCAGTTATGCTTCTTAATCCATGCACCTTTTCCTCCATTCTCCTCCTTTACCCTCCCCGCTGATAACCCTCCATATGAACTCCATTTTTATGATTTTGTTCCTGTCCTGGTTTTCTTAATTTTTCTTAATTTAGTTATTGATAGTTGTGAATTTGTTGTCATTCCAATGTTCATAGTTTTGATCTTCTTGTTCTTAAATAAGCCCCTTTAACATTTCCTGTAATAAGGGCTTGGTGATGATGAACTCCTTAGCTTACCTTATCTGGGAATCACTTTATTTGCCCTTCCATACAAAATGATAGCTTCGCTGCATAAAGTAATCTAGGTGGTAAGTCCTTACTTTTCATGACTTTGAATACTTCTTGCCCATCCCTTCTTGCCTGCAGTTTCTTTTGAGAAATCCATTGTCAGTCTTATGGGAGCTCCTTTGTAGGTAACTCTCTGCTTTTCTCTTGTTGCTTTTAAGGTTCCCTCTTTATCTTTAACCTTTAGCATTTTAATTATGATGTGTTTTAGTGTGGTCTTCTTAGGGTCCAACTTATTTAGGATTCTCTGTGTTTCCTGGACTTGTATGTCTATTTCCTTCACCAAATTAGGGAAGTTTTCATTCGTTATTTTTTCAGATAAGTCTACAATTTCTTGCTCTTCCTCTTCTCCTTCTGGCATCCCTATGATTCAATGTTGGCACATTTGAAGATTTCCCAGAAGCTTCTTATACTATCCTCATTTTTTTTTGAATTTTTGTTTCTTCTTTCTGTTCTGGTTGAATGCTTCTTTCTTCCTTATGTTCCAAATCATTGATCTGAATCCCAGCTTCTTTTCCTTCACTGTTGTTTCCTGTAGATTTTTCTTTATTTCAGTTAGTGTAACCTTCGTTTCTTCCTTTATATTGTTGTCATACTCAATTAGCCTGAGTATCATGATAACCTGTGTTTTGGAATCTGTATCTGATATGTTGGCTATCTCTTTGTTTAGCTCTTTTTCTGAGGTGTTGTTCTGTTCTTTCACTTGAGCCATATTTTTTTATTTCCTCAATTCGGCAGCCTCTCTGGATTTGTTTCTGTGTGCTAAGTAGAGCTGCTTTGATGCCCCGTCTTAGCATATCAGTTAAGTTGCATGGGGTGGAGCCTTAGGTAATCACTAGGGTTGGGAAACCCCCTTGGCCACATTGTGGTTCTGTCAGGGGGTAGTGCTTGGAGAGGGCACAATGTCCCTGCCTGGTTCCTAGAGGTTTTCCCCGCACTTGCCTTGTTTCCAGTCATGTTACCCACTTCCCGTATGCAGTTGGTGCCTTTCCAGCTGCCACCTTGGTGGTGAATCCCAGAGTGGATGAGCTTGTGTAACTTTTAAGTTATTGCAAGTTCTGTATGTGGACTCTCTTGAAAATCCAGCTGTTTCTTTCACTGCCCCAACCCTCGTTGGTTTTTATGGCCAGAAGTTATTGGTATTTCTCTTCCTGACACTGGAACCCTGGACTGAATGGTCTGGCCACGGGTTGGGATTGTTTGCTCCAAGGTGATCCCTCCTGATTTTCATCCACTACACAAGATTGTGGAACCGCCTTTTCTGCCTCCACTGTTGCCTCTCAGGGCCACACAGCATCTCCTCACCTCTCTACTTATCTCAACAACTCTACCTCTCCTACCCATTTAAATGAAAGTGACTTCTTTAAATCCTTGGTTGATGCACTTCTATACAGTCTGATTTTCTGACAGTTCTGGGTGTTATTTGTTCTGAGGTTTTGTTGTAAATTTTGCTGTTGCATGAGGAGGAGAAGCATGTTTATCTATGCCTCAATCATGACTGGAACTCTACAATTTGGTATTTTAAGTTGAATATTTCTAACATGAAATAATATTTATATTAATTTGTTAATTAATTTAGTCAAAATACAAAGAAAATGGCAATATTGAAATGATAAGAGGAACAATATAGCTCTACAGTACATGTGGGGATATGTTATCTTCTAACTTCTGGGACGTCCTTAACTCCTACAGATGGATATAACTGCTGGTACACACTCTCTCTCTCCTGAACCTGTTATTATGGCTATTATTGTAGACTAGATTATTTTTTGGTGAATCAACATTTCTTTTCTCTGACCACTATGAGAAGAGTATACTTTGCAAGAAATTAATAATATTAACCATGAGATTTGTTTTGATAATATAATGTGATTACAAAGATAAAAGTTTATGAGTTCTCAGCACAGTTAAGAAATTATTGGCCATGTGATTTGTTTTGATAATATAATATGATTACAGAGGTAACAGTTTATGAGTTCTCAGCACAGTTATTAAGAAACACACCTCTGCTATACCTGCTAAAAGTTGCTAATAACTTCTATGAGAAGGTCACATACAAGGTAGTCCATTGTTCAGAAAATAAAATATATGACAACAATCAGAACTGAATCTGTGGTAAGGAGCTAAGCCTGTACATGCTTAGCCTATATCAAATGAAAAAAAAACCTAAAAAAAACCCATAAATAGGTAAATGAGAAATAAATGAATACAATAAATGTTAGTTTTTAAATGTCAGTGCAACAGGGTTGTTTGAACACAACTTCAGCAATTAAATACAGCTGCAATGTACATATTATATGAAATTAATATCAAATATTCACATATTTCCCTATATGAATATAAGGAATATAGAAAATATAAAGACAATATATTCAAGAGATGAATGTATAGTGCTATTAATAATTTTCAAATAATAAGTGGGTATAGGATCTTTCCCACTTGTAATTGAATTAGAGTGAAAATATCTATGAATGTTGTGAAATTACTAAATTTTATCCCATATTCCTTCAATAACTATTTGATTCATATGGATATTTTATCCTCTTAATTTTTATTTTCTTCCTTATTTAACAATATTTTATTCCATCAAAGTATTTCTCTAAGCACAGTAATTAAGAGTGTCAAAACAGAAAAAGAGAATTTAACAAAACAAGGTACCTTCCAAAATAAATAAAATCGGGTAGAGGAAAAGAAAATACATTAAATAATATCAAAGGACACTGATTATTACTCAATGAAACCACTGGTCTCTACCAAAACAACAACAACAACAAACAACAAAAAAACCTTCTAATCATTGATAGAGCTACACCCAAGTAGATTCAGAAGAAATTTGTTTGTTCCTTTCTTTGAGCAAGTAGACTCAGAAGAAATTTGTCTGTTCCTTTCTTTGAGCAAGTGAGGCATACTTACATGGTTTTGCTATAGAAAACTTGGGGTTATTGCATAGTAACTTTGTGTGTCAATTAGAATTATTACCCTCTGTTCCAAATTTCTTTATTGACATTTCTGAGATAATGACACTAGATTGTATAACCTTCCTTCCCCTGTCAGATAGGTGGCTTGATGATTGTCAGTAAAGTGCACTAGAGAGAAAGGCCTCCTCTTCCTAGTTTCATGGTGCTTTGTTTCCTTAGGCCAGAGAGGTGTAATTGGCAGCTACATGCATACAGGACATTCCTGTGAGATTCAGGCTCCAGCAAGTTTGGTGGCTAGTCACAGCTATCATTCCCTTTCCTCCAACCTCTATCTGCTGACATTTTGGCAGGGAGGTCTTTATGCTTTCCAGCCCTAGAGTGAGAGCCATCCTCACAAATGCCAGCCTGCAGACTAAGTAGTGCACTGTCCTAGAGCAGTTCATAACGTTTTCTGTAGTGATACTGTCTTCCTTAAAAGTCTGAAAGCCATCCCTGAGGAAGTAGGCTGGGCTTCCATATGATCGTTTCCTTTGGTCCTCTTCTTTAACCTATGGTAGATTTTATAATTTTCTTCTATCCCTCTCTGCAGGCTGTCCCCAAATAGTTAATAATTCTTTAAGTCAAATGTTAAAGTTTGATTTAACATTTCTCTCTCCTAACTCAGCTGACTTATATACCTTGCCACCATAAGATGTTCAGTCCTTGTTCCCAACATTAAAGCAAGGTCAAATCAATGAAATTGAAAATGTGTGTAAAATTGTTCCTGTTAATATAGATTTAAAAATAACAGTTCTTGATATTATAATTCAAAATTTATATATGATTTACTTAAATTAATAACAGAAACTTTAAAATGTATATGTACCTGGATATGTATTTTAAAAATTAACATAAATGTAGATATTAAAATAATTTTACAATAGCAAGGGTGAAGATTCAGATAAACTATGGACTTTAAGTGACTATAATGTGTGAATGTAGGCTCATGCATAGTGGCATATATACCACTCTGGTATTGAGGTTGATAATGGGGGACAGGGGAAATATGGGAAATCACAATATTTTCCTCTTAATATTGTCATTAATAAACTTGTCTCAAAATAATATCTTTTAAAAAAATCCACAAAAATAATTGCAATGTTCTTGAAGAAACTAAAAATGTGTATTTTAGAAATACTGAGAGTATGATTATTCCAAATATAGGAAGCTAAAATGCCTTGTGTTTACAAACATATATTTTTGTTTCTGTACAGGATACAGGATAGGTGTTGTTTTTGAAAAAATTCATACATGCACAGTTATTGTCCAGCTTTGATGCTATTGAGAACCTGAAATACAAAGATAATAAATCATTAATCTGGTAACGTATAAATTAATATTTTAAGTAATAAACAATTTATTTAGAGTATTTGTTACATACTAAATCCAGATATTTCTTATAATTATTTTCATCAAAAACACTTTAATAGTTTATTCATATAATTGTTAACACATTGCCTTTTATTTCTAAGGTTAATTTCTGATTTATAAAGAATAAAATATATGAGTTTTCAAGAAGCTTACATTTTGGGAGAGAAAGTTGAGCCATTGGTCCATGGCCAAGAATCATTATTATTTCTGCAGGAGAGTCCAATCCATAGAAATGTTTTGAAAATATTCAAAAAATTCTGTGGGAAAATACATTTCATGAGAAATTAAGTAAAAGCTGGTAAAATAATTTGAATTGGTAAAAACAAACAAACTTGGCATGCAGTGCAGGAGGAGGTGATGGCTAAATAAACTGCACAGCCCACCAACATCTGACACAATTAGTGAATGAGCAAATCAACCACCTCCTGCATGTTGGGAAACACCCTGTCTGGTTTCAGAGACTGTAGCCTCACCGACAGGCAAGAGGGCCCCCGAGGCTGGAAATAATTAAGGAGGCCTTGGGAAAACAGGCCTCTGAGGAGGCGAAACCTATCCCTGCCACAGCCCCTGTCTCCCTCACATTACCCTTCTTGGCCCTGTGACGTCAGTTAGTCAAAGATGGGTAAGATTCTTGATGAGGAGGGACAACTTAAGCCAGGCACAGCTGATATGGACAGCAGACAAGGACTTGGGGGACATGGAGAAAGGGCATAAAGGCCCTCACCCCTCAACTCAGCTTGGGCATGGCCGGAGTCCTCATTCTATCTGAAAGACGTCTCCTTATCTCTTGGTCTTTCTGCCCCACCCACCTGGCTCAGGCTTGAAACAATACTAAAGGCAGGTACAGCCCTAAACTGGATCAAGCAGTACCCAGGGGACAATTAAGCCTAGAAGTTCCTTGAAGCGTGCTTTGTTCTTCTTTCAAAAGCTATGATAACCGGCTCAGACTGGGAGATTTACATTATTCTTAGACCCTGACCTGAGGCAGATTTCTTGTGTTCCTCCAATTATTATCTATGATCTCCATCTGTTTTCTGTAAACACAGCCTTTTGACATTGATTGATGAGCTTTGCTGTATATCCTTGTTCATTTGGTTCTCAACAAAAGCTTTTGGAAACGGGGGCTTGGCGCCTTCTCCGCTAGCAGGAAGAGCCCTGTCTGTCCCCTGTCCTGGCAAACAGAGAAGTGTTTGTGATGACTCGTGTTTATTCCCCCATCTGTGACAACCCCAGGATGGTCTCTGTGGGATTCAGAGCCCCACTCCCTCCTAAACTGGCTCTGGACAGTAATCTTCAGAGATCCACGAGCACCCAGGGCAGCGCCCCCCATGGCACCTGCACTCAAGGGGTAACCCTGCCTAGCTGACCCAATAATCCAACATCTAGAAGATCAAATGGCATTCTGTAGAAAAATAAAGGAATCTGAATCAATATGGAACATCTCAAGATTCACCTGAACTGAGGCAATGGCTGCAATAAAAACAGCAGTATCCTAATCAACTGGCCAAAGAAACAGATAAATCCATTAAACAGCTTGAATCTCTTCCCACTGTTACCAAAAAAAAAAAAAGGACCCGTTGCGGGGATGATGGCCAGATGCTATTACCAAAACAACGACACCCTCCTTCCCCGGGACCCCTCGGTTGTGGGTCCTTTGCCCCCCACCCTTGGAATTATGGCTCTGAATGGCAGAGTTTGGTGAAAAGGAAAAGGAAGTATTTATTCAAAAGTTATACAGGTTTGATTAATGGCTAAATGTCACCCTTAAATCTCAAAATCCCTTCAAAACAACCACCAGCACACACACTGTCCTGCCTTCTCCCCTTTGCCCAGTCAGGCCAGTCAGGGGTACCCGTCCTTCAGAAGAAAAAAAAGAACAGAAGTCCGGGGCTCGGCTAGGCAGGCCTCTCGCGGTTCTCAGCACCATCCACTGCGTCGCCGCGATCTCCAGCTCTTAATCCATAACCATGTGGCACCTTCTCCCAGCCCACTGGTCTTCACACTGTTCCCCAGAATCTGTGTCCCTTTGTCTCTCCAGCAGGCCTCTCTCTCTCTCCTCCCTCTCTCCCAGTTACATTCTGTATTAAGTCTTTTAAACCTTCCTGATTAGCTTTAGTGATATGCCAAATAATCCTCTTTGCAAAAGAGGAAGAAAGCTATCCTGTTATTGACATGCAAACTGACTCTCAAAGGCCCTGCTCAAGGCTCCCATCCCCCATGGCGGCCCGCCCTGGGGTGGGAAGAATATATTTTTCTTGGACACCCCAATCTCTGGACTCCGTTACAAAATACCCTTTGGTGGGGCCTGGCTGTGCCCCGTTACACCACCACCCTCAGTGAACAGCATGAAAGGAAATTACAAGAGATTACTTATTGGTTGAATTTACAACATCACTGACTAACTTTCCAAAGGTCCAAAGGCCAGCTGCTAAGAAAGAGAAAGAGTTTGTTGCTCAAGTGGGGAGCCAGTTCCAGGGCATCTGGTCAAATTCCTGAGGAGAGCTCAAAAGAAAGTCAACTTGTGTCCTGGAAAAGCTAAACTCTCCCTCAAAGAGGTGTGATAGCATAGAGGCCAAAGTTGAAAATGCAGGGATGAATGTCCAAGAAGCCAATAGCAGTTGTCAAGGGCAGCAGAATATCAGAAAAAGAATCTTGCTTATTGCTGTGATATGCACAAATCATTAAAGAAAGCTAGAAATCTACAACATGGCTAGCATTGAAGAATAGAACAAAATTATTAATTTTTATATTTTATTATTTTATTTTATTTTATTTTATTTATTCTTTTAAAGATTCTATTCATTTAGTTTTACAGATAGAGGGAGGGAGAGAGAAAGAAAGAGAAACAACAATTGGTTGTTTCTCCTGTGCCCACTGGAGACCAATCCTGCAATAACACAGGCATATGCCCTGACTGGGAATTGAACGAGTGTCATCTCCCTTTAGGGAGGACGCCCAAACAATTGAGCCATACTGGTCAAAGCAACCTTTATATTTTAAATAACTATATTAAAATTATTTTGCCTTTGTTTTTTATTTGTATGTTGAGATTTTGAATACATTTTTGTTAACAGTAAACAATGATATCAGATATTATGATCTCCCTTTGTTCTTCTTTCTCAAAATTGCTGAGGCTGTTGAGGTTGTTCATAGTTCCAAATAAATTTTTGAAATGTTTGTTCTATATCTGTGAAATATGTCACTGATATTTTAATAGAGATTGCATTGTATCTATCAATTGCTTTGGGTAGTATCGACATTTTGATGATGTTAATTCTTCCAATCCATGAACACAGTATATGCTTCCATTTATTTGTGCCTTCTTTAATTTCTTTCTTCAGTGTTGTATACTTTTCTGAGTACAGGTCTTTTACCTCCTTGGTTAGGTTTATTCCTAGGTACTTTATTTTTCTTGTTGCTATAGTAAATGGGATTTTTTCCTGATTTATGTTTCTGATATTTCATTGTTAGTATACAAAAATGCCTTTGTTTTCTGAATATTGACTTTGTATCCTGCTGTTTTGCCCAATTCACTTATTAGGTCAAGTTATTTTTTTGGTGGACTTTATAAGTTTCTATGGCTTTCTATGTACACTCTCATGTCATCTGCAAACTAAGAGAGTTTTACTTCTTCCTTTCCAATTTGGATGCCTTTTATTTATTTTTCTTGTTTGATCATTGTGGTTAGAATTTCTAATACTATGATGAATAGAAGTGGTGAAAGTGGACACACTTTTTTGTTCCCAATCTTAGTGGGAAAGCTTTTAGTTTTTTCACGTTGAGTATGATGTTGACCATAAGTTTCTTGTATATGACCTTTATTACCTTGAGATATGCTCCCTCAACTCCCCCTTTGCTAAGTGTTTTATATCCTAAGTGGGTGTTGTACCTTATCAAATGCTTTTTCTGCATCTATTGTGATATTGTATGATCCTTGCATCCCTGGGATGAATCACAATATGAAACTGATATGAAACTATATTGCAAGTCCAGTGTAATCAAAACAGTCCAGTATTGGCATAAGAACAGACCCATAGATCAATGGAACAGAATAGAGAGTCTAGAAATAAACCCACGTCTCTATGGTCAATTAATATTTGACAGAGCGGGCAGAAGCATAAAATGGAGTAAAAAGAGTCTCTTCAACAAATGGTGTTGGGAGATCTGGACAGCTACATGAAAAACAATGAAACTTGTCCACCAACTTACACCATACACAAAAATAAACTCAAGATGGATAAAAGACTTAAATATAAGTCATGACACCATTAAAGTCCTAGAGGAGAAAATAGGCAGGAAAATTTCAGATATTCCATGCAGCAATATTTTCACCAATACGTCCTCTACAGCAAGAGATATAAAGGAAATAATAAACAAATGGGAATACATCTAATTAAAAAGCTTCCACATGGCTGAAGAAAACATCAGCAGAATGAAATGGGAACCAACCATATGGGAAAATATATTTGCCAATGGTACCTCAAACAATGGTTTGATCTCCAAAATATGTAAGGAACTCACACAACTCCACTTCCGGAAGAAAAACAACCTAATTTAAAAAAGGATCTGAACAGATACTTCTCCAAGGTAGATATACAGAGGGCCCAGAGACATATGAAAGGATGCTCAGCATCACTAGCCATCAGAGAGATGCAAATTAAAAGCACAATGAGATGTCACTTCACGTTAGAATGGTCATCTTAAATCAACAAACAACAAATGTTGGTGAGGTTGTGAAGAAAAAGAAACCCTAGTACACTGTTGGTGGGAATGCAGACTGGTGCAGATACTGTGGAAAACAGTGTGGAATTTCCTCAAAAAACTAAAAGTGGAAATTCTTTTTTGACCCAGCAATTCCACTGCTGGCATTACACCCCGAGAATCCTGAAATACCAATTCGAAAGAACTTATGCATCCCAATGTTCATAGCAGTGTAATTTATAATAACCAAGTTCTGGAAGCAGCCTCAATGCCATCTGTATATGAATGTATGGAAAAACTATTGTACATTTACACAATAGAATACTACACAACAGAAAGAAGGAATTCCTATAGTTCATGACAGCATGGATGGAACTGTAGAGCATTATGCTAAGTGAACTAAGCCAGGCGATGAAAGACAAATATCATATGATCTCACCTATAAGGGGAACCTAACCAACAGAACAAATAAGCAAGTAATGCAGAACCAGGGACATGGAAATAAAGAACAAACTTCAGTGACAAGAGGGGATGGGGGAGGGGGTTTTTGTGTAAAGAAGGGGAAGGGTCAAGTAACATGTACAATGGACCCATAGACAAGGACAACAAGTTGAAGGATTGAATGTAGGGGAAAGTAATAAGTAATGGGGAGAATAGAGAACTCTAACTGAACACGATGAAAATATTTAAAATACCAAAACAATGAATATGATATTGGACACTAATAATATTGCCTCAGAAAAAATGTCACATTGATATCTTGTGAGAATTCAGTTTGAAGAACAACTTTTAAAGAAATTATTTGCTACAGTTGACATTCAGCATTTTTTTGGCCGTTTGTACTCCTTGAAGGTGGCCATGACACTGTGTCTGGGGTCCATCTGACACCGTGCATGGTTACTAGAATACTGTTTGTGATATTCTCTATGTTGTGCTTTTCATTTTTTGATGGTTTTATAACTGACAGTTTAGAAAACAAATTAAGATAAAAGTTTTAAAACGTACAAGCTTTTAAGCTGTTCTTTATTTTCATACACAGATAACCATTTTTTACCACTCTTCATTGAAAAATAATTAGATGTTTGTCCATTAACTCACTTGCCTTTTTAAATCAATTTGTTTTTTTATTTTGTTTTGTTTTTATTTTGTTTTTATTGATTTGAGAGAGTAAGAGAGAGAGAGTGAGAGAGCAATCAATATGTTGTTCCACTTATTTATACCTTTACTGGTTGCTTTTTATATATGTGCCTTGACGGGAGATGTAACTGGCTCTCCACACATGCTTGAATGATGGAAAAAATGTGCACATGTGTAGAAGAAGTACCGATGGTCCAGTAAAAAATAAAAACCAAATGTGATTTGAGTACTGATTTTAAAGTTATGAGCACTCTCTTAAACACACACACAAATACATCAAACAACAGCGGGAGGAAGCTATAGGGACTTGAGGTATCTGAATACATTTAAAAAAATCATTGGTTGTCAACTGAGCTATGCATATGCAGGGGGAATCCCTAGTAAGCCAGGCTTAAAATAAAATAATGAGACTTTTGAAAATTGAGTGATCACACTTCAAAAGACAATATTCTACTCTAATATTTTACTGAAGTTACAAAAAATATCTAAGAAGGATGTATTATCAAAAATATTTACTTAAATTTTTAAAAAAATTATGCAAAGAAACTGAAAAAATATCTTCCATAATCAGGAGGAAAAATCACTCAATAGAATCTAAATTTTACTGATAAGATTTTGGATTTATTATCAAAACATTTTATAGTAATTACTATAAATATGTATTTCCTTGAAAATTACTTAAGAAAACTAAGTTCAAATAACCGTATGAAAATATGATGACAGTGACAGAACAATTAGAAAAATAAAAACTGTATGAATGAATAAAAAATTCTTAGTTGAAAAATACATTACCTACATTAAAAAATTCAATACACTTACATTACACTTAAGATGTAGGAGAAAGAATTGATGAAATTAAGATGAATAACAGAAATAATTAATTCTTGAGGGTAGAGAGAAAAAGAGGGAAAAATTAATGGAGCTTCAGAGGCCTTTAGAAATTTATCAGTAAAACTGACATAGCTGTAATTATTGTCTGTGACTAAGAAAGAAAGACAAAGTCAGAAAAATTTTTGAGACACAATGAATGAACGTTCTAAATTTTATGTTAAAATATACCGACTCATGTATATAAAGTTGTTTATGCAGAAGAGATCATCTGACATACATTATGCTGCACCAACTTGATAATGGTGTAGGAAAGTATAAACTTCACTTCTGTCACGCAGCATCACAAACACAGCATCAAACAATATAAAGTCTCAAAGTATTATAAACCTAAACATAAAAGTCAATCAATAAAAAAAAATAAATCTTTTTTCTTTAAAAAAGATGAAAGATTATTTTCATGAACTTTGACTAACTCCTGAAATAATTCCAAAATAATTCCAAACACCAAAATGAGATATTAGACTAGGTAACATTAATAAATTCAGGTCATTAAAAGACTCCAGTATGAGAACAAAAATATAAATTGATAGCCAAAAAAGCCATTTGCAGCTTACAGATTCAAAAAGTAGCTCAGATCCAAAATTTAACATCTTCTAAGGAGGAAAACAGGTAACATGTGAGGGAAATGGTCAAGAGGCACTTCTCATTCCCACGATGGAGACTTTCATAATGATTAATGCTCTGAAATATGTGTTCTATTTATCAGTAACCAGAAAAATTCCTATTAATGTCATAATGATACTTTTATATAATGATCAGAAGGGATGGCATTAAAATTCCCAACAGTACTAAGTTTTGGATCATGGAACTATTAAATAAAATGTGTACTTACACAATAAACCAAAAAATGCTGGGATAGTTTTAAAAATTTGACATATACATGCATTTGTAACCTTGAGATACAAATCTGTGTTTATAAATTATTATATTATTATCAATATAACATTTGTAGCATATAAATATAATATATATTACTGGTATATATTATAAATTATTTTAAATACAATATAATATTTGAAAAAACATACACAAGGATCTTTGCTAAATAATTATTCATAATACCCACATATTAAAAGACATCATCTACATTCTGAGTAGAATAGATTAAATATTCTGTATATACTATATAGCAGTAAAAATTAACAAACTACAGGTTAATGCAATAATATGGATAAATTTTAAAAATATCATTTGTGAGTTAAAGGAGACAAAATTATACTGAATGATTCTCACTATATAAAAATCAAAATTAAGCAAAGATAATTTGTTATCTAAAATATCAGAATAGTGGTTAAGTGAGGAGAGGGGAGAACTTATTAGAGAGTGCACAGGAATGGACTGGAAACATCTATTTCATGATCTCACTTGAAGTTACATAGGTCTTTTTATTTGTAATATACACAGACATGGTGTCTTTAGTTTCCATGATGTATGGCAAAATTAAGTAGCAAGGTTATTTTACAAAAAAAAGCATTCTTAGAAGCTATAAAAAGCATTTATAGAAGTATTGTTGTCTAGGAAAATTAAGACCTGAAATGATATAATGCACATTAATGGCATAAAATAGAAATAAAATATTTTAGAGTCAAATTAAATATTAATATTCTTTAAATAAACTGCAAATATATATAAAATGTGAATGAATTATATTTAAAATATAAAATGATATTTTAAATAAATGTTAGAAATATTAAAAATCTTACCATTTCTCCTTTATCATCTACATAGAGCAGGCTAGAGTTCTTAGCAGCACAGGCCATCCAGCTCTCATTCCATGTCTTTTTTTCAGTACTGATGTAGTAGCAATTGTTGGAATACATTAACCACTCTGGTGGACAATGACCACAATGATATGCTGAAGAAAGATTTTGTATTATTATCCAAGAACAATGTGCATTTAAAAGTGAAAATTAATTTTGACCTTTGCATAGACACAGACGCATTAGTGCACAGCATATATGCAAACCCTCACAGACTGGTACACATAAAGCAAGATGCACTCATATACGCTCAAACACAGTCATAGAGAAGGGTCAGCTTCTCATTCCTTAATTTATGTGCCTGTATGAAGCAAACACACAAACAAAAATATCCACCTTCTATATGTCCTGAATGTCAATGAATGAAATCACAGTTTTAGAAAACGACAGTTATCTTTGAGGCAATTAGCAACAATGGGTATAATGATTTTAAATCAGTATTTCTTTACATTTTTCATAAGAAAAACATTTTTCTGTACTCATTATTTATGTAAGTTCATTATCCAGTATAGTTTTTGTTCCCCCTGTCAAAAAGCTATAAATTTGAGTATGTTAGAGACAAAGCATGGGCTACTAATATCAGAATGTAGAAAATAATTACATACCTTTCTGGATCTCTGTGACTGAAGAAGAATTATTCTGCACCAGTGTTATATTAACTAGAAAAAACAAGTAATTGTTACAAAAAATAATGTTGATCTAAATAAATCGTTACACTTTTGTTTCTTAATTTGAAATGTGGTATATTGTCTAGGATTAAAATAATATGGAATAAAATTGATTTTACCAAGAAAAACTAATGAAGTAATGATAACTTGGGGGAAAATGTTCAAAAGGCTTTCAAAAGCCTTGAGAACAAAACCACCAAGTCTTACAGTATTTGGATTAACCATATGAAAAATTAATTTGTATTTCTCAATAAAGTATCCTTAAGAATGCTTGAAATTATAATACAAATATATATGAATACATGGGGTATATATGTGTGTGTATATATATGTGTAAATATATATATATATATTTATAAATTACTTCCTAAAATTATTCTGATATTTATACTTTGGACAAATTCAGAATAAAAAATTTTGTACTTAGTCTAAAAACAAAGCTTAAAATGAAACTTCTATTCTAAATATTATGAAGTGTTTGGGGGCACTGATAAACATACAAGTAAAAAGTTTCATAAAATCTTACAATAATTGACTTACAGTGAATAACAGCTATCACTACCAAAGTGGACAACAGGACAAGGCAGACGACCCCTAGGATCCCAGCAATGAGCTTCTCTGGAGGAGACACGGTTGCTGCAGGGAGGGAAATGCAAACACTGAGAAAGGAAAGATGGGACAATTGTTTGAAGAGCTTATACACAGAGGAACATATATGTAAACTTGGACCCAGAGCCAATATCTACCACTGTAATTTTCCTTTCAGAATATATAATTGCATTTTCACTAAATATAATGCTGTATGAGTTAGTGGACTAAGACCACAACTTACAGAAATGCCTGAATATAATTAGTCTTCAGCTTTCACCTTAGAATATCTTATTCCATCTTCAAGATCTAATCCTTAACATAAAAAAAAATGTGTATTCCCAATTCTTTTCTACATTTCTGCACCCAGTTGCACATCCTAGAACAGTTATACTGTGTGTCTATTGAAAGTGTTACCTTTGCAGTGGCCATTCTTGTCATTCCCTTGAAGATCCCTAGAAACATTTTGAAGATTTAATTCTGCATAGGTTATCTCCTGTTTGGGTCCCAGAATGGAGCCTTTGGTGCCCTTTGGTTTCATTTGCTGTCTCTTTGAGTCCTTAACTAGATTCAGTTCTGCGTAGGTTACTCTTTGGTCACTCATCTCTGCAGCTGAGCGGTGTCTGAGACTGTGCTCTACAGTATGTGTGCTTATGAATAAATGGTACATGCAGTGAAGAAATCACTTAAAGAAAAACTGGGCAGGGTAAGGGTGAGTATTGGGTTTTTTCCCCAGGTGAAGAATCTAATGTTCTGGTTATAAATTTCTTAGATCTTTAAACAAGTGCCTCATGTACACACTTTTTAAGATATTCTACATTTGATAATTTATTATTTGAGTAATTAAAACCAATAAATTACTGAGGAATAAACATCTTCATAAATCATAGTGTCCTCATTTATTTAAAGTCACATTCCACAGAAATATATAACACCATTAGTATGCTTGTGCTAAAAATAAAATGCTGTATTAGAATATAGAGACACAATATTTAGGATAAATTTGAAATTGAATACTGATTAAAGACTGAGTGCTCTAAAGATGGGGCACTAGTTGTGTTGGCATATATATTGTAATATTCTGAACTAAATTAATATTATTTAGTGACATACATTTATTTATTAAAGAGGATATGTTGTTATCTAATGTTCTTTTATTTTGAATGGTAAAATATTACAAACAAAAAATTTTTCATATGTTGAAAAAACTTACTCACACTAAACTCATTCAAAACCTAAACAGTATTGACAAAACAACAATAACATTTCTAAAATACTTATGTTACACAAGAAATTGGCAATTTAGAGCAAAGATATAAAACCATAATATGATTAAATAATGTGTAGATCATTTATATTAAAACACTGTCATTTCAAACTTCTGAAAAGTTCCTACAGATATTAAAGTCATTGAGGTAACTTTCAGTTGTGTAAGCAATAGTAATTAATTAAGTAATGTAATATAATAATTTCTTCAATGAGCTGTGTGGCCAGTGAATTCTAGAATTAATTCTGGCTTTGAAATTTGCAATGTAAGACCTTTCCAATGCGACTTAGTGTCTAGCCATTTAGTTTACTAATATAAAGAGGGAATAAAAATATCTAGGTATTATATATGTAAAACATTCAATATTTCATTTGTTTTTATAAGCTCTCAGTAATATTTTAGTTATGCTAATTATTATTTGAACACATTTATCATGTTATTTCTTTTTTTTTATTAAATGGGCAGATGATAGCAGTATATGCAAACAAATCAGAATATGTTAGGTGATGCTTAAAAAGAATACAAAATGAGTGCCTACTCATATGGAAATCAAATAATTGTTTGCATATCATGTTATTTCTGATTCATATCAGTTAAATGCTGTGGCTTAATTCATTAGATGGAGTCTCTTTATCAGTGTGGTATGTTTTCTAGCAATGGTTGCTCAATTTTAAAAAAAGTCTTTTGATTGTTTATAATTAAGCTTAATTAGAATTTTATGGGAGTATTTCATCCTGATTTTTATTAAAGCCAACTACTTATATTTGATCTAATTAAGTGTATTAAATGTAATATTTGACCTCCAATGAGTTCAAATAATTCATTTTAAAAATCTCTTTTTAAAAACAGGGCTAAATATAAAATAATATGTAATTATATCTATATGTATTATAAACTCAAAAAAATAACTTTTCCTTCTCTTGATTCTTACAGGATTTTACTTGAAATAGTTTTAATTGACACACTCAATTATGCATATATGTATGCACTTGAGTAATTTTCCACAGGCAAAACTTTGATTAGTTCAAGGTATTCTCCAATATATTTCATATTTTATTCTTGATATTTTACCCTAACTTATAAATAAAGATACCAATGTTATCTTTGACTTGACTGTACATTAATCATGCCTCATTTGCGTCACATCTAGCATTGTAATATCCCACTACATGAGATGGGCTAAGACAGAGAGAGGAGAGTAGAGACACATACCTTCTGTAGACCAGAGCCCAGCATCCTTTAGTGAGAGACCAGCTCACTCTTGTAAACAACAATATCTGTGGTCTTCACAGACTGTCTTGTGAAGGCTCAGTGAAGCATGGGTGGAAAAAACAGATTTCTCATTAATGTGTCACTTAAAGTTGAACAGGAAATTCTTACACTTGGGTTTTGAAGACTGTATATCTCATCACACACCTCCACAATATAGGATTCTTTGGGCTGGTAATGTGTCATTCAGGTCGTCCATTGGCTAATGCATCTGAGAAATTGTTTTCTTAATCTAAGAGATATCAAGAGACAGAAGACTTGACCACCATGCTGCATTACTCTCATCTCAATCTCAAACTCTTAAATCTTCGGCCTGGTTAAGAATATCTTAGATGTTTAAATTCTGCTCCTATATCGGATTATTTAATCTTGGCATTATATACTTCTTTTCCTTATACTCTCTTTATGACATTTCTATTACAATGAAAACAATTCTACAGTAATAATTCCATAAACAATAGGTATTTAATGATATCTGTCACAATAGTCTGAAAAATTACTATATTTTCACCTCTATGGCACTTGTCATAACAATCACTAATCCCCAAATTATCTTCTTAATTGCTCTGCGTTAATTCTTAAAGTTTCTTATTCATTTTATTGTTATTAAATGTTATTTAGATTTCTCTTTGTAAAAATAATATCTCTGTGAAGGATAAAAAATTAAACAATATTGAACTATATCACTTTGGCAGAGGATAAATTATTAAATTATTGTTGATTCATTTTTCAAATCATAACTGTCTATAATTTAATATGAATATTTGTTGTAAATGACAAATGCACAAGTGTTACTATGTAACTGGAAAACAAAGGTAATTAGTCTAGTGGGGAAGCAACCTAAGTGCCCATTAGTAAATGAATGGATCAAAAACACTATGGTACATTTACACAAGGGAATACTGCACAGCAGAAAAAAAAGATCTCCTACCCTTCATGAAAGCATGGATGGAACTAGAGAGAATTATGCTAAGTGAACTAAGCCAGGAGGTGAATGGCAAATAGCATATGATCTCACCCAAAAGTGGAATCTAATCAACAAAATAAAATATAACCAGAGACATTGAGATAAAGAACAAACTGACAGTAACCAGAAGGGTGGGAAGGGAGATAAAAGGGGAAAGAAGGGGAAGGGTCATCAAGGAACTTGTATGAAAGACTCATGGACAAAGCCAAAAAGGGGTAAGATTGAGTGTGTGAGGTGGGGGTGGGTGGGGCAGGGGAGAGCAGTGCGGGTAAAATGGAGACAACTGTACTTGAACAATAAAAAGATAAATCAATCAATTGATCAATTGATATTTTTCCTTATTAAAAAATAGGAAGGGTGGAAGATGTTGACTTTGAAAAACAAATTAAATGACACATGATAGTCAAAAGATACAAAATTTACTGCATGACGTTTAATTTACATATATTGTAAAATGATTACCACAATAACTTCAGCTAACATCCATCTTCTCATACAGATAAAATGAAAATAAAATAAAAAATATATAGCATATTCATGCTTTATATGTTGCCCACCAATAAATCACATTGTAGATGTCTAGGTTATCAGATAGACCAATGATTTTCAACCTTTTTCATCTCATGGCACACATAAACTAATTACTAAAATCCTGTGGCACACCAAAAAATATATATTTTTTGCCAATCAGACAGGAAGTAGGTATAACTTTGAGTGATTTATTGAAAAATAATAATAGTAATTACCTACCCTTTTGCCTCAATGTGACTTTAAAAAAATCATGTGCCTATACTTATATAAGACCAGGTGTGTCCAAAAAGAGTCCAGCCATTGTTAACATAATGAGAATGGTTTGCACAACATCACGTGACCAGACAGGCAAGGAGAATGGACTGGAATGTATATTTGTGATCAGTAGTGACTTTGCTCTTCTAGTCAGTGGAGGCAGTAGATGCTGCTGAGTGAATATGTGTACCGTGTGGCCATCTCATTCAAGATGACTAAGCAAATAGAGCAATGAATCTGCATGGAATTTTGCATTAAGCGTCAACATTCTTCCGGAGAAACTATTTGAATGATTCAGAAGGCTTTGGGGATGATGCAATGAGTGCAGCATAAAAAACATGTGGCACAAACAGTTCAAAGATGGTCAAGAATCTGTTGAAAGTGATCCATGTTCTCGAAGGCCTGAAACAAGCAGAACGCCTATAAACATTTGAATATGTGTGGCCTGCAAACAACAAAGATTGATGACTGACAGTGCAAGAGCTGGAAGCTAATCTGGGGGTCCCAAAAACTAGTGTGTCTGATAATTTGATGTTGGATTTTGGCAAGAAATTAGCAATGGCAAATTTCTTTCCATGGCTTCTGCTACCAGAGAAGAAGCAATATCGAGCTCCAGTTTGTAATGACTTGATTGACACCACTACCAATGGACCAGATAACCTCATAAGGTCATAACCAGAGATAAATCATGGATCTATGGCTATGATCCAGAAACAAAGGCCCATTCGTCCTAATGGAAGTCACCGGTTTCTCCACACTCAAAGAAGTAGTGGCAAAATTGCAGGAAGATCAGGAACATGTTAACCCTTTTCTGTTTGGGAAGGTTTTGTTCATCACAAGCACACCTCCTCCTGCAGGCAAAACAATTAATAATAAATGCTACCTCAATGCTCTTTGTCAGTTGAAAGATACAATACAACCAAAATGGCTGCAGCTATGGGCAACTGGTAATTGGCAGCTTCATCAGGACAATGTGACCACCCATGCATCATGTATCCTGCAGAATTTTGGCATAACATCAAATAACCCAGGTGACTCAGTCCCCCTATATCCCATATTTGGCCCCCTGTGACTTCTGGCTTTTCACAAAACTAAAATCACTTTTTAAAGGGAAGAGATTTCAGATCTTCAATGAAATTCAGGGAAACATGACAGGGCACTTGATGGTGGTTCCAACAAAAGATTTTGCAGAGTGCTTTGAACAGTGGAAAAGACGTTCAGAGAACTGTGTGAGGCCCCAACATGTTTACTTTGAATGGAACTGAGGTGTCATTTTCCTTTGTATAATTTTTCTTGTAACTGTAAATTCTTCAAT